TTTGAGAGAGGCGGGGCATAGAGGACCTACAATAATGTACAGTATTTGAAAAAATAATGTTTTTTTTTTTAACATTAAAGCATGTCAACATATTCTGTTACACCAAATACACAAAATAATGATCTTTAAAAAAGCATCATATGACCCCTTTAAAATTTCATTTCACTTGAGTATTTCACATGTCTATGCACCTCCTCTTCTGCATCTCTACATAATATAGCACAGTGATAACAGTTATCAGATATAAAGATGTATATCTGATATATATTTATCAGATATCAAGAACACTACTGGTATCAATTAACATTTATTATTTTTAAATAATACAATAAATATACTACAAAGAACATGGGCTTTGGTAGAGAGTTACAACAAACATCGCTCTCTCTCCATTTCACAATGAAGGACAGGCCTGTTTTCATCGGAGCACTGAGAGGATGTATCATACGGCTGAGAAAAAAAATGTGGCTGTGGGAAGAAACATCAAGAGAAAGCTTAACAATTTCATGCATACAGGAAAGTTTTAATGCTTCAAAAGACATACAAGGGTGGGTGGACACAGTAAACCTGAATTTATTGACACAAAACCAATATCTCTTCTATCTTCTCGTACACAGGTTTGACACGACCGCAAAAACAAACAAACAAACATTACAAAGACAAAAAAAAACAAAAACAGAATCAACTTTATTGGCAGCATTACTGCTGGTTTTGAAATTTACAGAAGAATTGGTTGTAATTTTTTTTGTACTGATAAAGTTGTCAAAACTGCATATGAATCCTCTTAAAAGAAACAGTTCAAGTCATATTTAATTAAAAATTAGAGCAAGATTTTGCAGTAGCAGGACTAGTGGTCAAAAAGCAGAACAAAAGAGTGCAGGAAAAGGTCTAGTGGCAAAAGATGATAGATGAATAAAAAGATGGCTCTAGTCAATGACAACACATTCTGACAGGTGAAGGAATATACGCTAGCACAATTTTGTAATGTACAACATCCTTGAATAATCACACAAGACAATCTGATTCTTGCTTTTCAAGTCTCTTAAATTAAGAGAAATCTCTTTGGAAGGAAAGCTGAAATCGGCAGTCAAGTTAACTATTCATTCCTCTAAGCGTTTTGGTTCAAATATTCACAGAACCCTCCAAAAAGATCTAATGAAAAGGTCCCAAGCTAATTCTCCAGAGCGGTTTTAAAGGCAGAGTAAGTGATTTCTGGTAGCCAATGTTGATATTTGAAATCACCAAAACAAACACGCCCCTACCCCAAAAGGGTCTTGCCCCTATTTTGATAGCTCCGCCCCACATATACGTACGCAACCCAGGCAACGATTAGTTCTGTGAAACAAAGCAAAACCAATGTTACACCGTGTCTACGGACGTGAGTGGCGCGGCGCAACAAATCCCGACAGAAAACTGCTGCCGGGTTCTATTTATGATGTGCTGACACAAATTTCAAATGGTTTTCAACGGTCGTTTGACCTCTTTCTCGCGTCCAGTGTAGGCAGACTTTAGTTGTTGTAGACACGGTGTTACTCACCTATTGAGAAGAAACAAAGCAACCTCGGCGTCCGATCGCAGGCCTTCCGCTCCTTGAGTTCTCTCCAGCGCTGGTAAGCTGATCCGATATTTACACGGGTCCTACTTCTTGTCTTAAGCCTTCTTTTGTTCCGCAGACGTTTTCCTCTTTTGTTTTTTATCCGCCATCTCTATCTTTCTGTCGCTCGGCTCGCTAATATCCGTCCTGTGCACTGAACGCTCTCTCCTCCACATCATGAGTAAACACGCCTCTTACTGCTGATTGGCTACAAGTTTGTTTTGCTATTCGGCCCGAATCAGTTTTCTAAAGCGTTTTTGAAAAATCGCTCACCCCACCTTTATCATCACTTACCCCAAACTGTATAGGCCTATACTGTATGTAGATTCAGTTAAACAGTACAGTAAAAAGTAAATAAATGCATAGTATTATTATTAAAAAATACAAATGGAAACAAATGGTATATTTACTTCTAGAACTGTACTGTTTTAAACTACAACAAATACATCAAAATCAAAGGTGCTTACCAGATAATGTGAACCCAGATTGGTGCAGGTTTCTAGCTGGTCCCCCTGGGGTCTTTCCTGGACATGAGGGCCCTCTAGTGGTGGGAGTGGCTGGCACAGATTTGGTCATACTGATGACATCATGAACGGGGCCATCATAGTTTCCTCTAGGAACACCACGAGCATCAGCCATCTGCAAAATAAAAAAGATTTGATTATGAAAGTGACCCTTGATAACACAAAAGTTGATTTTTTTTTACACTTGAAAAGTCTGTGAGGGAGTTCATCTGTTATTTGACCGCTGGGATGAGTGAGTCAGCATTGATAATCACACAGTGACTCTCTTACTCGGCCTCGGGCCTTGATTCTCTTGAAGACAAAGTCCGGATAGGCTTTTCTGGGGATGAAGCGGCCTGACCCCTCTGTCACATTGAGTTTCCCGTCCTCCAGAACGATCCTGCCCTGACTGATGACCACCACAGGGAAACCTCGGCACTCCATTCCCTCAAAGATATTCACCTCCACGGTCTGCGGCGACACACGGGTCAGACTCAGAATAAAGACATTTCACTTTGACAAAATTCCAATGGAATATTACAAGGATTTAGACAGAATTGTCCTGTAGTTTCCACTCTAAACCAATAGTTGAATCAGTACAATGATGTGGGATAAATAAAAATAACATCGTTAATGGCTAATCTTTTCTTCCCTGTTGAAAGATGAAATTCTCATACCAGGTTGTGAGATTTGGCAGAGAAGACTTTCGCCTCCTTTGTGTTCCAGATAACAATGTCAGCATCAGATCCAACAGCGATTCGGCCTTTCCGAGGATACAGGTTGAAGATTTTCGCAGCGTTTGTACTCGTTACCGCAACAAAATCATTCTCGTCCATTTTACCTGTTGCCTATGTGACAAAAAACATAATTGGAGACTGCTAATAAGTCAATGAACTGTCACGTATGAATGGAAGTTGCAAGCATATGCATAAAAGTTGTTTTTTTATGGTTCGTGTTTGAACTCTGATCTGCAATTTCATGACATAATAGCTAATAGATGATCAAAATGTCGCAAGGAATGCAATGCAATGCAATGCAGTGTTGAAGTATATAGTATTTTTTTAAACATCTTTCACAAAGAATGTATTGTGAGACTGACCACAGCTTTGTCCCAGACGATGCTCATACGCTCCTCGATGCCGTTGGTCCCCTCTGGGATGAGGGTGAAGTTGTCCTTTCCAACAGCTTTCTGTGCCGTGGTGAAGGTGCAGTGAGCGCTGGCTGTCAGCTGAAGATCCCCACTGAAACAATTCATGACTGTCAGTAAGTATAATGCTTTCTGAAGACTAAAGGCCTGATTTTCTACACAGAGCATAATGGACTGCTTTGTGCATAGTTTACTGACAATGAACAACTTAAAGTACAAAGATGCAGTAAGATCATTTCTATAATGACAAATGCAGTCTAACAAGAGTTGCGCAAATTAGCGCAAGGTTGCAAACAAGCAGAGCGGATGATAATTAGGTGCGAGTAATCTACTAACAACACAGGCACAGAATAGGACATGCTTTTTGGGGGGTGTTAAATAATGGCACAAACACCAGTAAACTGATGACCGCAAACCTTAGTAAATCACCTTGCATGATTCATTAAGTACTTTCCTCCCATAAATTTAGCATCTGAAATGGAAACTCCTACAAATGCATATGCATTAAGGTCAGCCGCAAAAATAACTGTCCACTGTCTTTAGTAAATCCTGATGGTAGTTTTTTAATGCCAAAAAAGGGTTTGTGCAGATGCAGGCTGTTAGAGTACACCGGGCCTTTAATCTTCGACTTCAAAATATTTAAAGTGCCCCTTTTATGGATTTTTGAAAATTACCTTTCAGTAGGAGTGTGTAACACCTCTAAGTGAATGAAAACATCCTGCAAAGTTTTAAATCTGAAAGTGCACTGTGTATAAAGTTATTGTCTCTCAAAAGAAAGAGTCGACTCTGAATCATTGAAACGAGTCGTTTTTAAAACGAATCACAAGCCGTTTCATATTGAAGTCAACATGAAACATTAGCATATTGCCCGCCCACTTGTTAGTCTTCTCTGTTGGTCTGAATGAAAATGCAAATTCATTCTTTGCCACTAGGTGCCGCTTTTGGAGCAGTAAAAATAATGCAGTTTCATAATAAGCAGTTTCCCCGGTAATGCTGTACACAAAGCAGAACTGCACTCACAAACTCTGCTTTATCAGGCATCACAGGCAAGATGAAATGAAAATGAGAGTAATCGGACCAATCACCACAGATTAGCGTCACGCAAAGGAGGGGCTTGGAAAAATGAATCATTGAGCGAATCGTTTGGGAGTCGTTGAGCAAGTAAGGTAAAAATAAATGCATATTATAAGACAATGAAAGTGTTTTTTGACCTTGCATGCATGTCAACCTGTTGTTGGGGACTCCCAAAACCAAAATATGAACCTTTCATTACCCATAATAGGGGCACTTTAAAAAGAGTGCAATTAATCTCTCTCTCTATATATATATAATATATAGATCATATACAATTATTATATTATGATACTTGTGTATATGTATGCATTTACTGTATATATTTGAGGGTCATATACATATGACAATAAATGACAATGAATGTCACAAAAGTTTTTCATTTCAAATAAATGTTGTTCTTTTGAACTTTCTATTCAACAAAGAATCCTGAAAAAATCATGGTTTCCACAAAAATATGAAGCAGCACAACTTTTTAGCACTGATAATAATAAGAAATGCTTCTTGAGCAGCAAATCAGCATATTAGAATGATTTCTGAAAAATCATGTGACACTGAAGACTGGAGTAATGATGCTGAAAATTCAGCTTTTCATCACAGGAATAAATGACATTTGAAAACATTTTAAAATCGAAACAGCTATTTAAACTGAAATAATATTTCTCGGCATGTTTGATCAAATATTTGCAGCCTTGCAAGAGGCGTACCAACCCTAATCTTTATACGTAGAGTATGTTGGTGAGAAGCTGGTGTTTGGCCTGATTTGAGCTGCTTACCAGGACAGCAGTGAGCTGAGGTAATCCGGCGTGCTCATATCGGGGCTGAGCGGTGGAGACATGACAAATGCAGCAGCTTTGGCCCAGTCTTTGCTCCAGTAGTGCGATCCGTCCGTGCCCAGGCCAGCTGCGATTGGCTCTCCGTAGATGACCATGCCTGAAAACGAATCAATGCACATGACACAAACATTCACAAAGCTTCCTTTGTGTTTCTGTCACAGTCTTGTCGAACGCTTTCAACTCTCGTACCCTTTTTCCTGGCCTTGGCAATGACATCAGCAGCTGCTTTGCTCATCACCTTTGTGATGTAGAGAGGGCAGTTGGCCTGTTTAGCAATGGTGACGGCTCGATACACAGCCTCAGTCTCCACCTAGAGAAGAACAGCAGAAGTGATGCTGATGTTCACCAGTGGTAGAACCAGGGTGCGAACTACGGGGGAGCTAGGGGGAGCTCGGCTCCCCTTAATAAGACATGGGCTCCCCTGAAAACGGGATTTGTGAAATTTTGGGGGGTCTCAAAAAATATTGACAATGTGTTATTTTGACGTGCAATTTCAGTTTTGTGTAATGTGATCATCGTGGATTATTATGTGTAAAATTGCAAAAATATCATTCATCCATGCATGACGGCGATTTAAACCTAATTCACTTCAATAAAGATAACTATACATAATATTCTTGTCATGAGCATCGCGGTGTGGGGGCG